AAAAGGCATCCTACAGTATAGGAGAATATATTCATAAATGACTTATCCAACAAGGGGTGACCATCCAAAATATATGAAGAACTCACATGCTTCAACACCCAAAAAACAAACCAATTAAAAAATGGGCAGAGGATTTGAACAGACAATTCTCCAAAGAAGAAATTCAGATGGCCAACAGGCACATGAAAAGATGCTCCACATCACTAATCATCTGGGGAATGCATATTAAAACCACAATGAGATATCACCTCACACCAATTAGGATGGCTAACATCCAAACGACAAGAAACAACAAATGCTGCAGAGATGTGAAGAAAGGGGAACCCTACTACACTGCTGGTGGGAATGTAAATTAGTTCAACTATTGTGGAAAGCAGTATGGAGGTTCCTCAAAAAACTAAAAATAGAAATACCATTTGACACAGGAATTCCACTCTTAGGAATTTACGCAAAGAAAACAAGATCCCAGATTCAAAAAGACATATGCACCTCTATGTTTATTGCAGCACTATTAACAGTAGCCAAGATATGGAAGCAACCTAAGTGTCCATCAATAGATGAACGGATAAAGAAGATGTGGTACATATACACAATGAAATATTATTCAGCCATAAAAAGAAAACAGATCCTACCATTTGCAACAACATGGATGGAGCTAGAGGGTATTATGCTCAGTGAAATAAGCCAGGTGGAGAAAAACAAGTACCAAATGATTTCCTTCATTTGCAGGGTTTAACAACTAAACAAAACTGCAGCAGACTCACAAAACCTAAGAATGGACTAACAGTTACCAAAGGGAAAGGGACTGGGGAGGGTGGGGGCAAAGGGAGGGATAAGGGGGAAAAAGGGGCATTACGATTAGCACACATAACATGTAGAGGGGGCACGGGGAAGGCAGTACAACACAAAGAAGACAAGTATTGATTCTATAGCATCTTACTATGTTGATGGACAGTGACTGTAATAGGGTATGTGGTGGGGACTTGATAATGGGGGGAATCTAGTAACCACAATGTTGCTCATGTGACTGTATATTAATGATACCATAATACTAATAAAAATAAATAAAAGTTCTCTGTGAACTTTTATTTTTTAAATGGTGCCTCAGGCAAAGCACATGGTTTTAAGAAAACTGTAAGTAACAGATAATCCAGCTTGTAGCCAACAAATTTAAGTCTAGGAAGATACTTATAAAACTAATTCATTTTCTTCTATTACCAAATTATATCCTTTTTAAACCCTGAGGCAGGACAATTGCTTGAAAGTATAATCTAGGAGCATGCCAGACAATGAAAAGTACAAATACAGTCCCACACGGGGACTGAAGCATTCTTACTCATTTTCTTACCTGCTGTGGCAACGCTTTATAGAGGATACAGTGTTTTTGTACTAGGAACTACATCTGTACAGTGGTGAGGGAAAAGAAGGCAAGCATGGTCATGCGGAAAAATAGGATTAGTCAGGAACGAGTCAGGCAGCCTCTATATCGTTATATGTGTGTTGTAGACACTATCTAGATCAAAAGAAAGCATAAAAGTTTGCTGGCTTTGATACTTAAGTACCTTACATTACATATCCTAATTCAAGTCATATGTCAATTAACTACCAGAAAGCTTATTCCAAAATTTCTGTAATTGGAAGTAAATACTGTGAAATCTCAGAATTCAATCCTTTCTTAAAGCTTTTTTAAAAAGACCTCATCTGACCTTTTCTTTAAAAAAGAGACGTCATGAGAATATTCTGGTCCTTTAACAAAAATGTTAGCACTAAGAACTGAACTAGGAGATAATATCACTCTAAATTGATACTATTTATAGAGCTTTGACTGTTGTCCTTTGAACAATAGAAAACCAGGGTCATGGATCTTATCTCTGTGAGAGTCTTATATAAACTCTAGTCAACAAAAAAAGACTGGATCATTTTGATATGGCCATCTTAAGGACTTAGAAATAGTATTTTGAGAACCTGTATCAACAATGGTAACTGGAGATTATGTTTCTAATTGTGGATAGAATGATTCCATTATTAATATTGTCTCTAAGCCATATTTTAAACAAATAAATGATCACAGTCCAAAAATGGGATAGAAAGCATTTCTTAATTCTGCTGCTGGAATTATGGAATTCAAATTACCAATTTGAATATGGTAATATTCAAAAAGTCAAAAGGATTTAAATATGACTTAATACCATTCTTGAGATCTTCAAAAATGGTTTCATTCCATCCTATAAACTCATCCCTAAATGGAAATAAAGGCATGAATTAATATTCTCGCTCCCCATCTTTGCTTGGCTAGCCTGGACTGATCCTTTAAAGTCCCACCTAAAAAATCTCTTTATCCTAGAAAGACCTCCTTAAAAGCTCTAAAACCAGTACAAGAGTTCCCAGTGCCTTTTCCAATAAACCTTCTTGTCACTCCAGGTTACACACTTCCTAGGGTTTTGTTATTGCTGTTGTTTTGTTTAGTGTTCTCCACTAGACTGTGAGCTCCATAGGGGTAAGGACTATTTGCCACTGCAAAGCTGCATAGCTATTTAACACCTGACTTATGATAAGTAATAAAACATCTGTGGGACAAATGAACTACAGTTTTTAAACTTTCCCATCCAAGGGACTGTACCAATTACCTACTTTAAAAGTTATTCCGTAACAATTCAATCACTAGCATCTCAACCAATAGTCAACTGAGAATTACTTTTAACTACTAGATTTAACAAACTCTTAATGCTGTGCACACAAATATGAAAATATGACAAATTGACTACAGGCTGTTATGATTTTATACCTAAGGGTTTTGCTGGTTTTTTTTTTCTTTCTTAGGTTTGTCTGTTTTCCACAAAGGAACTAAAAAAATTTTTTTTTCCTAAAAAGCCAGTTCCAGGTTAGCACCTCATAACTGTAATATAGTCATTGTACTGTTTCGCTATTTGTTTTCCAGCTTATCTGGGTACACATAAAACTCTAAAACAGAATAAAAAGTAACTGTTCTGGCAAACAGAAGAGGTTGATTTATGAGACAAACACTATTTTATGGGTGATCAACCCTAAGTAAGTACATTTATTACACAAATAAATATAACTATCATCTGTTAGTGACTACTTATAATGTACTAAGGTGAAGAACAAGATCTGTGAAGCAGTATGTTAAAACAGACAAATTTGGAATGAGGTATGCAGAAGTAAACAACCTCAGTTGATTCACTGTATCAGAATATTCATTATACTCATTATTTCATTTAGCCTAAGGAAAAAGAAACACTATTTCACCTAAGATAAGCAACACTCATGAGCAAATATCTAGTTAGATGGAAGCCTGTTTATGATTCAAACCACTAGACTCCTAATAGTAGGGCCTATATATCAAGAATGGATCCAGAGATCTATAATGATTATCTGTGATTCTCATAGATCACAAACAGCATTTGTAAAAAAATTAAATGGAATAGGATATACACTATCAGAGTACAGCACATGTAGTAAGGAAAAGTACTGTATCCTGAAACTTTTGATTCAGTTTGTGTGTGTGACAGTGCAAAATATATTTCTAAGTATGGGCTGCAATAAAAAAAATGTGTGAATGCTACTGTTGGTGTATATGCCGATTACTTCTTCCTCCCAATACTGCAAAATAGAAACTCTCCATCATAATTACTTATAAACATTAAAAGTGACCTTAGCCCATGTATAGGTTGTAATAGTTTAAGCTTTGTTTCACAAGCTCTAAAATCAAACTTACTCAAATCCAGGTTCCATTACCACCTGTGTGAATTCGGACTGACTTAAACAGCATGTGCTTCACTTTCGTCAACTGTAAAATGGGTATAATAATATCCTCCAAGTTGTGGCAAAATGAACTAATACATATATAAGTTCTTACCATATGCTTTATCATTAAGAGAACAAATTTAAAGAGTGATTACATATTGGAAATTTAGCAAGAAACTTAACGGCATATCTTCAGCATGTTACCTTTGATGTTTGTGTCTTAGGGGGAGGGTGCTTTTCCATTTTGTATATTTCCGTCCTATATGAATTTTATGATATATATATTACACGTTTCTGATGTATATAACAATATCACCTTTGTTTTTAAAAACATCGGGTACATGGGCACTGACATAATTGTCCTGTTTTTGTTTTAAATTTCTCTGTATTTTATAAAAATAGATTAGGTGTTTCTAAAATAAAATAGTCCAGTACTTGCTCGAAAAGAAAAAGAAAAACAAAGTGTGTGGACAAGAGTTCAGGAATTAGAACATTTTTTGGAGAACTTATGTACCAGATGCTTCCCACTAAATCCTCAGACAACCTTAGTATATCTCTGCCCGTGGAAAATCTGAGGCAACAGACATAAGTAAGATAAACCGTTAGACAACTAGCAACGTTCACAACTTTAAAGTCCATATTCCTTCTACCATCACATTATACAACCAATCTTCTCCAGTTTTTTCATACAGCCGTATTTTGATCTATCCAAATTACGACTGTAAACTCCTTGAAAAAGGGGGACAAGTTTCATAAACTTCACTTACGTCTTTCATGGCTTACTAAGACTTTTCGATCTTATCTTTAAACACTTGCCGAGCTACATTAAAATTCTTTTGGTTGAAGCTGTCCTCACGGGACATACCTGTTGTAAAACCGAAATTAACTAGCAAACAACAAAACTACTCTAAGATTACCCAAATCGAACAAATTATATTTATACACACTTGGAACTGAAGAAGTTTAAATATACCCTTATCCAGCGACCACCACTAGAGAGCTTAGGAATGAGTCCAAGTATCACTGTGCAAACAAGAGAAAGAATGGATTCGCACCTTCCCTACCACGCCCCCGTCACCCAGGTGCTACCTAACAGACGAACCTCCGGCGTTCCGGTGAGGTGTTGAAGAACCATAGCCACGCCCCATTTTGTTCCATCACAATAACTTGTTTTCTTTCCCACCCCGGACCCCTGTCCCCAAGACCAAAACCCTTAATAAACAAGAGCCTCTGACCTGCAGCGAAGTGTAGGGGAGACGACTTCCGGCCGGCCATGTCCTTAGCGTTCACATTGGCCGCGTCCACCAACCTCTTCACCCGGGACACGTCCCCATTGCGACAGGCCTCCAGCAGCTCCCGTAGGGCGCCGCTCACGGCCGGGACCCCCGGCCCGGGTCCCGCTGCCCCGGGCCCTAATGCCGCGGTGCCAACTCCGGGCGCCTCGGGGCTCTCCGCCAAGCTCGATCCCGGGGAGGATGGAGAAGACGACGACGACGTCGGGGAAGAAGAGGACGACGGTGAGTTGTTACTGCCGCCGCCGGCTGTGCTGGGAGCGACCCCGACGGCAGAAGCAGCGGAAACCGCCGGAACCACGGGGGCGGTGGGGACGGCGCAGACTGTGCTGGTGGTGTTGCCACAGCTGGGACTGTCAGCCGGGTCCGGGGATCGGGGCCTGTCGGGCGGCTCCCTACTGCCATCCCCCTCCGGCAGCGCTAGGCCGTGCCGCGGCGAGGCGAAGGGGGCCAGGCCGGCCGCCGTGGGGGAAGCTGGGGTGGTCCCCGGGGCCAGGCCGGGGCTGAGTGGAGGGGGAGGAGGTGGCGGCGGCGCCGAAGCCCCTGGGGCGGGCTGGAGCTGTTGTTGATGATGGTGGTGATGATGCTGAGAGCGACGCGACGCCGCCATCTTCGGACTCCCCCAGCTCTGTCACTGCGGCAACGGCCCCACCGCCCGCCCTCACTTCCGACTTCTGGGCCACTTAGCATCCAGCGCACAGGAAATGATGCTGGGAGGAGTGGGAGGAGTCCAAGAGAAGGAGGGAGGTATTGGGAGCTCCGAGACGGTCGCTGGAGGGGGCGTGGCCTTGTGGCTGAGGGGCGGGCTTTGTGACGCGTGGCGGGCCGGCTGCGGAGGTTTGAAACTAAGAGCCAGCCTCTGCCTAAATGGGAAACTTTTCCTGCGTTTCTGGCTTTCAGTTTGCTTACCTTTCCCTGCTCCGTTCTCTTGCTAAGTCTCTTTCAGTTTTCCTTATCTGGCTCCACAGCTTGCTACTGAGGCGTAACTCAGGGCAAGACGAGTATGTGTCATTTATCATCTATCAGATGGCCTCCTCAAAATGCAACTAATAGTACTTACCCTACAGAACTGTTAGCGGAATTAAATGAGCTGATATATATATAAAGCACTTTCTGACTGTTAATAAAACATAGCTATATTTAGCCTATTGATAATTTTTTAAATGCAGTCCTCGCCTCCCCTCTACCCCAGTTATTCTCTTGGTCTTTATGTCCCCTTATAAGTTTTCTCACTCTATGTACTTTGTTAATCTATTTTAAAATAGTGGTTCAGATTGCCAGGACTGGAGTTCAAGCTCTGTGCCATTTGCTAGCTGTGTAAATTTGGGCAAATTATTTAACCATTTTTATGTCTCAGCTTCCCTTCGGCAAAATCGAGTAAATAGTTCAATAATTGTTAACTATTAAAATTATTTTCTCTATTCTATTATCCCTGTCCTTTTATTTCTTACCTTAAGGCTGATTCAGATAATTATGATGGCGTTCCTTTCTTTTAAATTCTTTTTAGCTGAACCTCCCTTCTCCTCCATTCTTATTACCCCTCACTTCTCCTCCCAAACCAAGATAACCTAACTTGTTTCCATCACTCACCCATCAGATGCCATTCTTCAGTAACTACTTTTTCTCTCTTTCCTCTGCCTATACCTACTTTTTATGTCTGCCGTCAAAAGAAACATAGTGCATGAGATAATCTCAGTGAAGTCTCCACTTCCTGACCTCTGTTCAATAGTAAACTAGGCATTGTGGAAGTTTACACAAAGAGCATTATCCCAATAGAGTGGACATAGATAGAGATTGTATCTTAGGAAAAAACAAGATTTAGATTGGTTAAATAGAAATTTAGCATTACAGAATACTAAACCAGGTGATAAAGTGATGTTTCACATGTTCATTATTAAATATGATTAGTGTAATGTTAATATTCCCACCTAAATAAAGAGGTATATTTACTTAGGACCACAATCTAAAACAAGGTCAGGAACATAATTTATATTATGAGTGACATACGCTGGAGGGGGCGTGGCCTTGTGGCTGAGGGGCGGGCTTTGTGACGCGTGGCGGGCCGGCTGCGGAGGTTTGAAACTAAGAGCCAGCCTCTGCCTAAATGGGAAACTTTTCCTGCGTTTCTGGCTTTCAGTTTGCTTACCTTCCCCTGCTCCGTTCTCTTGCTAAGTCTCTTTCAGTTTTCCTTATCTGGCTCCACAGCTTGCTACTGAGGCGTAACTCAGGGCAAGACGAGTATGTGTCATTTATCATCTATCAGATGGCCTCCTCAAAATGCAACTAATAGTACTTACCCTACAGAACTGTTAGCGGAATTAAATGAGCTGATATATATATAAAGCACTTTCTGACTGTTAATAAAACATAGCTATATTTAGCCTATTGATAATTTTTTAAATGCAGTCCTCGCCTCCCCTCTACCCCAGTTATTCTCTTGGTCTTTATGTCCCCTTATAAGTTTTCTCACTCTATGTACTTTGTTAATCTATTTTAAAATAGTGGTTCAGATTGCCAGGACTGGAGTTCAAGCTCTGTGCCATTTGCTAGCTGTGTAAATTTGGGCAAATTATTTAACCATTTTTATGTCTCAGCTTCCCTTCGGCAAAATCGAGTAAATAGTTCAATAATTGTTAACTATTAAAATTATTTTCTCTATTCTATTATCCCTGTCCTTTTATTTCTTACCTTAAGGCTGATTCAGATAATTATGATGGCGTTCCTTTCTTTTAAATTCTTTTTAGCTGAACCTCCCTTCTCCTCCATTCTTATTACCCCTCACTTCTCCTCCCAAACCAAGATAACCTAACTTGTTTCCATCACTCACCCATCAGATGCCATTCTTCAGTAACTACTTTTTCTCTCTTTCCTCTGCCTATACCTACTTTTTATGTCTGCCGTCAAAAGAAACATAGTGCATGAGATAATCTCAGTGAAGTCTCCACTTCCTGACCTCTGTTCAATAGTAAACTAGGCATTGTGGAAGTTTACACAAAGAGCATTATCCCAATAGAGTGGACATAGATAGAGATTGTATCTTAGGAAAAAACAAGATTTAGATTGGTTAAATAGAAATTTAGCATTACAGAATACTAAACCAGGTGATAAAGTGATGTTTCACATGTTCATTATTAAATATGATTAGTGTAATGTTAATATTCCCACCTAAATAAAGAGGTATATTTACTTAGGACCACAATCTAAAACAAGGTCAGGAACATAATTTATATTATGAGTGACATTTATTACCATCTACTTTGGGGTTACAGACCATAACTCTTAACAGTATCCACAGTTTTATAAATGCATGCCATTGTTCACAAATTGACAAGTGAGTGGCTAGATAGGAAAACCCCATCAGCACAACTGAGGTCTTCCTGCAACACACATTCTCTTGGTTTTGAATCTTAAATTAATGCAGAGCACAGGGCAGCATTAAGGAGCAGAGGTAAATCAGCAGAATACATTAGATTTCCATAACTCACTTTGCACCCCCATGATTATGGCCTTCTCCCTGAATAGGAGGCGTAGAGAGTATCTCATCTGATCCCCTGATGATTATTCATAGATCGTGAGTAGTAGTAATGTTCACCCTAATTCAAAATGCAAGTGTGTCTGCTTATCCGTACAAAAAAAGTGAGAAAATTTTTTCTGGATAGCAACAACAAGGCTAAATTGCCTGAAACTACACTATTGGAAATTGCTTTTCTCTCCTGCAGTACAAAGTAGTAAAAGTACTTAACATTAAATATTTATAAGGTTTAGGTTAATATGGACTAATGTTGGCTCTAAACATGAAAGGGCAGATGTCATGACCTAATCTTTTACAGTTAAACACAATTCCATGAGGGATGCACTATGCCCTGGTGAAAGGAGTTAAATCTGGGCTTGAATTACTTCTGAGGCTTAGCAGTTGGCTTATTTTTGTAGATGTGCCTCAGCTCTGTCATACTACAATTCTCATTTCAGTGTTGCATTGTCATGAGGATTAAAAGATCTAGGTGTCTTCTTAAGCACTCTTTGAGTGTTAGGTTCGTTCTCTTTTGTGGCATAAGAACTCATAGCGATTATTGATGCTATCTCCTCACAATGTCCTTTATGACAAAGATAGTGACTGGAAATAAGTACCAACATTCTACATATAACAAGAATATTAAGCAAAGAAAGATCAGGTTTGTTTCCTCATCTGAAAATTCAAGATTCTATACTATCTCCAAGAATCGTTAAAGATCATTGTTTTGTAGGATCTTATCATTTTCAAAGGTGTTTTCAAAAAAATCATGGTCAAGTGGTATAAAAATGTGAGCACACAGTGAAATAAGCCAGGCGGAGAAACAAGTACCAAATGATTTCCCTCATTTGTGGAGTGTAACAACCAAGCAAAACTGTAGGAACAGCAGCAGACTCACAGACTCCAGGAAGGGACTAGCAGTTACCAAAGAGGAGGGGTGGGGGAGGGAGGGAGAAGGGGATTGAGGGGCATTATGATTAGTACACATGGTGTGTGTGGGGGTCACAAGGAAGATAGTGTAGTACAGAAAAGACAAGTAATGACTCTGTGGCATCTTACTGCACTGATGGACAGTGACTGCAGTGGGGTACGGGGGGGACTTGATAATATGGGTGAATGTAGTAACCACAGTGTTTTTCATGGAAAACCTTCCTAAGAGTGTATATCAATGATGCCTTAACAAATCAAAACAAAACAAAAATGTTAGAGCACAGAACATTCTCATAGGCCACTCTCTTAGTTGACACAAAGAGTGAGCCACCAATTCAAAGGGCACTCACCTTCCAGCCTCTGTTGTGATGTTTGTTTTTCCCCCCAGGGGGGTCACATGGACATGCTGTGTAAGTTACACAATCATCAAATCACACAGCCTTCATATTTCAACATACTTCAATATACCATTGCTATACTTATCATTATCCTGCCTCAGATCCAAGTCCATGGGTAGTACCTCTTATCAATTAAGTCCCCTTAGTCTTAAACACTCCTGCAGTGCCTCCTCTGAAAATTCATAAGCACAAGATCACAAGGCAGAGCTCGGTCTTGGCTGAGGCAGTGCCATTTCCTCACTTTGGCCACAGGAGATAATAAGTGATTCTTATGTCAGAAATGCCCATGGTTCCAAGGATCCAGATTTCTCTATGAAGGTATTACTAAACTACGAGAAATATTGAAACGCAGGAGAAACTTTTCTTATAAGTCATAGGTGGGCAACAATTCCAATCGTTGGAATGCTGATCGCATTGTACCGGAGGAAGTTTTATTAAAAGAAAAAGCAAAGTAACTTATTCCAAAACAGGAAAATCACAGAAATAATCCCCTATATATTAGTTTTATCATCATCCCCCCATTGACATTTTCAGTTGTTTATAAGGTCGCTCTTACATAGCAAGGTCCTCCGGGTGCACTCCCAAGACATGTTAGTCCGCCCTCTGCTGACTCGAATCTTCTTCTGGTAGGGCCTGTACCCTTCAGGGTAGTCCCACCTGAAGCATTAGCTCTAGTCAGAGAGGCGATATAATACAGTCGTTAAGAATGTAGATTCTGCATTTAGACCACTTGGATATGAATATTAGCTTTGTCACTAACCAGTAGTGTGTGATTAAAGGATAACATATCCTACCTTTTGACAGAGATAAAAATCTATTTTCTGTGCATA